ACCCACCAAGCTGTATTTTTTCTTAAAAAAATTTTGCTTAAAATACACGACCAATTGAATAAAAGAAAAAGAAAAAGTCAACTTTGGAGTCTTTACTCTTTAGAGTTGGAAGAACGCAGAAAAAAGAATTCTCTCAAAAAAAAAAGGCAGAAAAAAGAAGTGGTCTACATCTTCATCAAAATAATTATTAAGAAGAGGAATTATTAGGGAGGAGTGGGTGGAACCAAAAAAGCCCACGTGATATTTATGCCCAATTTTGAGCTTGACAGAGAGTAACCTCCATTGAAAGGAAAGCATACGGAATCTGGTTCATGGCGACCAAGTAGGAATCTTACTTCTGTCCCTGATTTTTCAGGGAAAAGTTTCTCCCACACCCTGTCCTTCCTAAGTTCTTCTAATATCCTATGATATCCCTTTATTGTTGTCCCAATTTTATTTGCATGGGGTTCTGAATTTTGATTGTTGGGGATGACATCCCGTACACTTCCACATTGAAGTGCAAATGTGCTCTTCCTTATATATGTGTGCCTATGTGGAGAAGAATCTTGAATATATATATATACCTATTTGCGAAGTTACTTGTCTAGTAATTGTTTCTTCCATTCCCTGATGATAATTACATGTCCTTTGTGAAAAAACTAATTAATATTAGTTCCTTTGATCACCAAGTGTAAGTGAGAAGAAACAGCTATCAATATCAAAAGATTTATCATTTATTCAATAGTTTAAATTATATAATATTATTTTTTATTGAATGATAAAAAGGGGATACCATCTTTTTTCTTCTAAAATTACATTTTGGTGAGAATTATGCCCTCAAAAAATTTAGGTTAATAACAACAAATACTTGTTAAAAAAATAGAACGAAAATTCCTAAACATATTAGAAAATATCAACAAAAATTTTACTTTAAACTTTTTTATTAGTGGAGATATTTTACCTCCACCTTCATTTTCATATTCATCTTATTTTATATTGTAACTCTTTTCCACTTAACTTCCAATCAAAACTCCACTTTGCTTACATTCATGGTTCCACTTAGATGCCATTCACACCTTTATTAAAGTGTTATTCATACTTCCATTTAATTCTATTTAATTACTAATGTAACGCCTATATTTCTGTTAATATTTCTTTTAACCCACAAATATGCATATAAATTTCAAGTTTGTATGATTTAAACGTAGTGAAATAAAATTTTGTTCTCTTGCTACTTTATCGTGTATTTTATAATAAAAATCAAATTGTATGGCAACAGATATCTTTTTTTTTTTTTTCTCTCTTTATGCGGCAACAAATAATCATTTTTTTTTATGTGACAACAAATAATCTTTAGACATATGAAAAGAAGCAATTATATGGTAGCCCTTCTGTCACGGTCCGTTTTCATCCGTTATAAAAGCTCACTAACAGATGTTTAAGTCAAACCTTTTCCAAAAAAGGAAGAAAACAACTTTCAATTGGTTATGAGATCCACTAAGTCTTAGTTTCCACTTGGTTTTTCCTCTTCCCATCCCCCTCCCCTTTGTCTCTTTTCTTCCTCCTCTTTCCCTTATCCGAACACCCATCACTTAGCTGTTATGACGGAACGTAACAGCACAGGAGGATCACAATTGAAAATTTTTCACATACCCAAGATGATTTTGCCTTCTTTTTTGTTATTTTTTTTCGACATTTTTCCTTATGTCCAAAGATTTTTATTGTGATTGTATAAAAAATCTATGTATGTGGACGAACAGAAAAGACAGCTTCATATGTTGCGCAAAATTGTATGGTGAACAAAAGGAGGCAACATCTCTCTGGGAAGTGGCTGCCGTGACATGGGCCTCACCTTTGCCATCATATGAATATATGATATCCCATCATCCTCTTTTTTTTTGAACAGGTAGACAGGGGCGGGTCGAACCCAAGCCCAGAGGGAGGGGAGAATGCATGGTTAGGTGGCTAATGCCACTTAGCTCACAGGCCTCGTTGCGATATCCCATTATCCCTTTTTTTTTTTCACATGTCTTGAATTTTGAATATTTTAGATGACATCTTGTCCACTTTCATATATGCAGGTGCATTTGTGCTGTGTTACCTATACATAAAACTACGTAGAGAAGAATTAGTTTTGAATATTTATTTTACTCATTTGCAAAGTTACTTAATTACCTATTAATGGTCTTCCAATCCATGTCTTTGTGAAAAAACTAATTAATATTAGTTCTTTTGATCACCGAGTGTAAGGGAGAAGAACTTGTTAAACTTTGGAGCAAACTAGTTCTTTATTTTTACTTGGATGGTTGTCTGGGCAGGTGGGATATGATATGTATTTTTTTTATAAAAAAAAATTAATTGGGTTAAATTAACCTTGTACCTTTTTAAAAAAATTCTTCAAAAAATGCAATTTATTGTAGTCCTTCTGTCACGGTCTGTCTACATACGTCTAAATGGCCTAGGAACGGACGTTAAGTTGTAACACCTCATTAGTCATTTAATTTTTTTATTTTTATTTTATTTTATTAAGAATCATAATATTATATATATTGATTTAATTATAAATTAAAATTATAAATTAAATTTACATAAATAAATTGTGTATATATTATTATCCTTTCGATTTACCTCTTCCCTGCCCTTTTTCTCTTTTCTTCCTCCTTTCCTTCTCTGGGTAAATATTAGTGCAGTGAATGATGGCCACATCATTAATAAGAATTTTTGGGTACCATTAGAGAAAGGGTTTGACTTAAACGTCCGTCACTTGGGTGTTATGACGGAACGTGACAGAGCACCACAATTGCAAATTTTTCGTATGCCCAAAATTTTTGATAATTTGTTGATATTTCCTATATGTCCCCAGAGACTACCATTGTGAATGGATTAAAAGGTTAAAATATTAATTTGGTCCCTCAATTTTTAGATTTATATAAAAATTATCCCTCAACTTTAGAAAGTACTAAAATTATTCAATGAATTTTAATTTAATTTATGGTACTAAAATGGTCTTCAAACTTTGAAGATAATACCAATTTAGTTCTTAAACTTTGAAAACTTATACCAACTTAATTTTTGAACTTTAATTACAAATATGAGTTTGATTTTTCAACTTTAATTATATATCAAACTAATATATAAATAAAAATATATCATAATAGCAAAATATAATTATTTAATTTTACACATCATCAATATTTTTGTTAACGAAAAGACTTTTTGTATTAAAAACTAAAGTTTAAGAATAATTTTAATATTTTTTAAAGTTAAAAGATAATTTGATTAAAATCTAAAAATTAAGAAACTAAATTAGTATTTTAACCAATAAAAAATTCCATGTAAGTGGACGAACGGAAAGACAAACCCCTTGATGTTGAGCGAAACTGTGTGCTATTGGCAACTCGAACTAAAGACATGTGCCTGACTTTGGCTTTTTTTTCTTTTCTTTTCTTTTTTTACATTTATTTGGGTGGCAATGATATACTCTATTTGTAATAGATTTTTTTTTATTTTATCTTATATTTTTACATTAATTTTAGGGCAATTTATATTTTATTTATTCTATCCTAAAAAAAATACAAATAAAGAAAATCTTTTATTATATAATGAACGATTAAAATTATGTTAAATTACTGTTTTTTATCATTAAATTACTGTTTTTCACCGTTAAATACTAAATATGTCAGCATTTTTTTGTACAGAAGGACTAATTTGGGGCAAATTGATAAATAGTAAGGACCAAATCGAGGTCCGTACAATAATTTAGGGATTAAATCAGAGATTTTTTTAGTTCATGGATCAAATTGAGGGTCTGTACAATAGTTTAAGGATTAAATCAGAGATTTTTTTAGTTCAAGAACCAAATTAGAGGTCATATGATAATTCAAGGACCAAATTAGAGATTTAACCTTAAAATTAAGAGATAAAGATAAAATTAAAGTATATAAAAAAATATTTATTTCCTTTAATTTTAAAAAATAGATTTTATGAAAAAAATTTAAATAAAAAATTTACTATATAATTTTGAGATAAAAAGAGTACTTTAAAAAAATATAAAATTTGTTTTCACACCCAGGCAAGATTCCTGTTTTCCTTTTTTTTCTTTTTCTTTTTTCATGAAATCAATAAAAAGCTCTTCAGGCACATGGAGATTTGTTTGGAAATTGACAGTTTTCTTTTAAAAAGCAAAACTTTCTTTTAAAAAGCAAAACTCAAAGAGTACTTTCATAATAGTAGGACTGGCACTGGGCATATCCCGTGGAGTAAAAGGACAACAACTTACCCTATAGGCCTATACACTTAAAAAGTTGAAACCAGCCTTACATAATTTTTTTTTAACAAGATAATTTTTGGGAGTAGGGGAAAGGCATTGAACCAGCCCTATGGGTTGTAGACCCACACCAATTTTCGATCGACCTTACAGGCCAGGTGCGTAACAGCCTCACATCATATATCATTATGTTTCACAATATGGGGAAGTAGTCATTGCTTCCGTCAGACATTCCCCTTTAAGTTTTCTTGCATAGTCGCATTCCTTACTCCCCAAATCTAATAGCAGTTGTTCACAGAAAAATAAAATAATAAAATAAAATAAAACAAAAAAATCCAATAGGCAGTTGCTGAGAATGAGTGCAACTTTCAGCTTCTTTGAACTTATACATTTTCCGCATTTTATCACGACATTTTTGTGGGGGGTTAATAAATAAGTAAATATATATAATATTATTAGTGAGTTTTTAAATAAAAAATTGATTATATAATATATATTATAATTATAAGTTTATAATACATTTAACTATCATTTTCATAAATACTTAATCTACTATATGCCAGCTTTGAGGCCCTTCCCCTTGTTAATTTAATAGTTTATTCATCCTTTCAAAAAATAAAAAAATAAAAGCTTTATTTCTCTTGGTGTGAATATTCTAAACAATATATAGCAATATGATATGAAATAGATGAAAAATGTTGAATTTTGTTGTAACATGTGCATTTAAAAATACTATTTTAAGTGGTTAAGAAATTGTAATTTTAAGTTTGAAATGTTGAATTTAAATCATAGAAATTAAAAAAAATTATATCGTATTATATAATTTATCATTTAATATACTATAAAAAAATATAATAAAGTCTTATATAAAAAATGCATGTGAATCATTTTCCTTATTTGTCCACAGATGTCTACTGATATAAATACAACTCTGAGACTACGAGACTTTTTTTTATAAAATCAAATTGCATGTGAATTATTTTCCTTTTTTTTTTGTTAGCCGACGTTAATTGCTATACCAACACCCCATTTTCCAACTTAATTTCTCCACCGTTTCCTGTATGATTATATTAATTTTTAAGCAATGATTTTTTGACCAAAATTTAGGGATGGAATTTTTTCAATTATTAATTATGTGAGTCTATATAAAAAAACTCATATCATAACTAATAATTACTACAAATTCATTCTAAATTTTAATCATAAAAATTAATCTTAATTATTATTACTATTATATTAAATTACAAATGCATGCTCAAGTTTTTTTTATTAATATATATTTTTTTAAAAGGAAAATTTTAAAAGAAGGGAAGTATTAAAACTGTCTCCATAGAGAGTTGAACCTTGACCTGGGTTAAGGTTTATACTGTACATTGCTAGCCCGTCTGGGCTATTAATGCTTTTTTTTATTAACAATCACAATACACAAAATCTAATAATGAATTGTTTTCTTTTACATCATTATGGGTTTGATTAACATATATCTTAAAAGCACAAATTAAATGTGTAATAAATATATTTTTTATAATTATTTTATATGAAAAATAACTAAAGTTAATTTTTATTTTAATGACAATATCAGTAGACAGTTTTAATTAATCAGTTTATTAAATTTAAATTAATTTTTATTTTTTTATATAGATTAATTATAAAAAATATATTTATTATACTTTTTAACATGTATTCTAATGACACAAAATAAATTTTTTTTATCATTATATATTACACAATCATTGAATGTGTAAATAACAACCATTAAGAGTTATACATTTGGTAGTTTTGATTGGAAAATACTAATTATTAAATAAAAAAAAATCTACACTTTGTTGCCACGTGTGGATGCAAGTGATTTACTTCTCTCAAACCCCAAAAATATAATATAGCTAACTCAAGGAAGAGATCAACACTATTTATCAAGAAATTTATCATGATGTAATGGTATAATATTTTACAATTCCCTGCTATCGATATTGCAAAACACTCGAATCAGCTTGTGGCCCAAAGGTTCGACTTTAAGCTTTAACTGTTTGGATGAGGTAATAAGAATTTTGAGTTTCATCATCGTTGTGAATTCCACTAAAAAAACGGTTTGATGGTTGTGCGCTTTATTTGAGGGGTGAAATGTTCATCCGATTTAAAAACAAATTGCTAACAATTAAATCAATAACTTCTTAATCATTAACTTTATAAAAAAAAAGATATTGCAAAACACTCTTTTATTAAGTTAATCAATTAAAAATCTTCAAAGTTAAGGAAACACACGGAAGAAGTGCGATCCCCACTCTCTTGTATGGTACTTTATATAGGCTATAGGGTAACCAGCCCGCAAAGAACAGCTCCAATATACACATTTTTCCTCAGAGGAGAATATATATACGAGTAGGGGAGGGAAAACATGGGTTCTCTCAAACTTGCTCTTCTTTGTGGGGTTTTGCTTTGTTTGTTGGTTCAGGTTAGTTTGGCTGCAAAGGTCAGGCATCACAAATGGGCAGTAGAGTACTTGTTTTGGTCACCGGACTGTGTGGAGCATGTGGTGATGGGCATCAACGGCCAGTTTCCAGGACCCACGATCCGGGCCACCGCCGGCGACACCATTGTTGTGGAACTCACAAACAAGCTAAACACTGAAGGAGTTGTCATTCACTGGCATGGAATCAGACAGGTTTTCCCCCTCTCTAGCTCCTAGTTTCTTTGCTTCACACCCGAGCTAAAAACAATATTCCTAAACAGAGAAGAACACTGCACTATACAGATCGATTTGTTTTTTTTTTTTTTTTAACTTGTGGAGAATTAAGCTAACATTATAATCTTAGCTTGTGAAGAACGTTTGTTCATTTTTTTGCAGCTTGGAACTCCTTGGGCTGATGGAACTGCATCCATTTCTCAATGTGCTATCAATCCAGGAGATACTTTCATTTACAGGTTCAAAGTTGACAGGGTAAAGTCTCTCTTCTTCCCTTTTGATCTAACTTTTATCTAAGAAAAAAAGAAACTTTTATGTTATGAAGTTTAAAGATGAAATTTGATGGTGGATCAATGGATGTAATTATGTGGTGCAGCCAGGAACATACTTTTATCATGGACACTATGGGATGCAGAGATCAGCAGGGTTGTATGGATCTCTAATAGTGGATCTGGCGGAAGGAAAGAAAGAGCCATTCCATTATGATGGGGAGCTCAATTTATTACTGAGCGACTGGTGGCACCAGAGCGTTCATGAACAAGAGGTCGGCCTCTCCTCCAACCCATTCCGCTGGATTAATGAATCCCAGGTAAATTATAATTGTAATTAAAATTAAAACAAATTAATTTAAGAGTTTTCTATATATTATCATGTAAAATAAGAATTATTAAATGAAGACTAATAATTTTTAAATTAAGAGATTCACTCCTATCTAATAATTTTAGTTATATAGCTCAATATAATATAGTTCTAACTGTAATTTTTTTTAATTAATAAATTAAAAAGTTTGGATTTTGAAACTTAACCATTGTTCAAGTTGATATAATTAAGCACAAGTGGAAGGTTTTTTTTCCTTAACTTAAGCCATAATCGTTGGTACGTATCTAACTCCTACGAGACATTAGTCGATTAATTAATAAAATATACTGTTATTAAATTAGTTACCCAAGTGGTGCCACACCCACAGCCAACTATAGGCTTTAAATTACTGATTAATTAATTCCTTAAATTTCAGAAAGTTCCAATCCGCTATACTACATCTTAGCACGTTCTTGTGGTATTGTATAAATCAAAGAAAATGTTAGTGTAGCATATCTTAATAATTACGTTTTTTAAAAAAAATATATTTTTTTTAAATATAAGTATCTCAACTGTTTACGGAACTAATCTCAAAACTCAAAAGCACTATCCTAAGCAAGCTCCCATTACAATTATCTTTTTTCTTTTGTTTTCTAGTGGATTTATATATTTTTGCCCACAAGAAAAAGCTTTTAAATATATAACGAATTAATTTGGTTTCTTTTTCCTTGTTCGTATATATTTTCAGAGTTTGCTAATCAATGGAAGAGGGCAATATAATTGTTCATTAGCAGCCAAGTACAGCAATTCATCCTCTGTTCCAGAGTGCAAATTGAGAGGAAGTGAGCAATGTGCTCCTCAGATTCTTCACGTGGAACGCAACAAGACCTACAGGCTGAGGATTGCCAGCACCACTGCTTTAGCTTCTCTCAATTTGGCCATTGGGGTAAAATTTCTTTTCCTTTTTGTCTATCCTGTTTTGAAAATTGCACAAATGGAAAATTAAAATAAGGAAAAAAAATTGGAGACATGATTTCTTGTGACAAGACAATATGGAAGAAAGCAAGACATATCTGATTTTTTGTGATAAGAAAACGACAGTATAATAATGTCTCTTAATATATTATCTCCTCCCACTAGAATGAAGTTGGGTGGAACATGATGGTGAATTGCAATTGGAACTTTTCAAACTTTCTTTTCACCTCGTTTTAATTCTTAATTCTTAAATTTAGAAATTCAATTGTTAGTAAAACTCCTTAAAACTTGAATTTTACATAAAAAAAACCAAAAAAAAGTTGATGGATGTAAAAGGAAGGGAACAAAGCGAGAAAGAAAGAGGCTCCAAAGAGACACTAGGAGTACTGAAAAAGAATAATGGAGATATAGAGAGAGAAACAAAAATAATGAAGAAGATAGAGGCTATAGCTTTTTGGTGGTGGGAACATGGTGTGAACGTACCACAAGATTGTGGTGCCAAAAGCCACATGCATTATGCGATCAAGGAACGCAGACCGATCCAATCTATGATTCATCTTTTTCATTTGTGACATTATTCAGGCTTTGTCTGCACTCCTCGCATGCCTTGAAAAAAGGTACTTTTATGGAAAAAAGGTACTTTTATGGAAAAATGATTTATTAATTAACAACGAAATCTCAAATATAATATAACACAGCTTAGGTTTTTTTTTTTTTTTTTCATTTAATTAAAGTGTGTTACTGATATTACATAGCTTAGGGTTTTTTTTTTAATTGATTTTATTCTTCTTACTTAAGTAAAATGTGTGAATTAGTAATACTACATAAGTATTATAAGAATTTACTGTTAATGAATATTATAATCAAATTATTATTGTTTTAGTTATTTTCAACTGTTAGTAGTCTAGCATATTAAAAATTTGAATCCTTGGAATTGATGTCCTAACTTTTACCATCCCCTTCTTCTGCTGTTCCTCTCACTGAACAATTCACATGTGTAAAACACTAATATATATGATTCAACCACATTTTACCCTCAGATGGTACATCGTACACATGTCAGTTAGCTAAGCTAACTCACGTGCATTTTTCAGACATCCCATCTTTGTTGTTCTCAAGTTCAAAATTCATTCTTCTTAAATACCATATTTCTAATTTCTAATTTATTCTAAAGTTGTTAGATTCAAGCATACGTTGATGCATGAATATCATTTAATCAAACCTTTAGCTTCTACTCTGGAATTGTTTTGTATTATTTTTGCAGGGTCACAAACTGGTTGTGGTGGAAGCAGATGGGAACTACGTACAGCCGTTCGCCGTAGACGACATGGACATTTACTCCGGCGAGAGCTACTCCGTTCTGTTGAGGACAGACCAAGATCCCACGAAGAACTATTGGCTTTCAGTCGGTGTTAGGGGAAGAGAACCCAAAACCCCTCAAGGCCTCACCATCCTCAACTACAAACCCACCTCCGCCTCCCACCTCCCTCCCATTCCGCCGCCTGTCACCCCTCGCTGGAACGACACCGATCACAGCAAGGCCTTCACCAACAAGACACGGGCGCTCATGGGCTCCCCAAAGCCACCTACAACTTCCCACCGTCGGATTGTCCTCCTCAACACCCAGAACAAGTTTGATGGGTTCACAAAGTGGGCCATTAATAACGTCTCCTTGGTCTTGCCCTCCACCCCTTATTTGGGCTCCATGAAGTTGGGCCTAAAAGGCACTTATAATCATGTAAGCAGTCTCGGCCCATTATTATTCTTATTTTTCTTGATCTTCAGCATCAAGCCCACCAAAATTTATTAGTTATTATCCCCTAATCTTGGACTGGATCCATTTTGACTGCAGGCAAGCCCACCGGAGAAATACGATGAGAGTTACGACGTGATGAATCCGCCGGTGAACCCCAACGCTAATCAGGGAAATGGGGTGTACGTTTTCGACTTAAACTCCACCGTCGACGTGATCCTACAAAACGCCAACACGCTGACCACCGGCGTCAGCGAGATCCATCCGTGGCACCTCCACGGGCACGATTTCTGGGTGCTGGGTTACGGCGACGGGAAGTTCAAGGAGGCCGACGTGAAGAAATTCAACCTGAAGAATCCGCCATTGAAGAACACGGCAGTGATCTTCCCTTACGGGTGGACAGCGTTGAGGTTCGTGGCAGATAACCCGGGAGTGTGGGCATTTCACTGCCACATTGAGCCGCATCTGCATATGGGCATGGGGGTAGTGTTCGCCGAAGGAGTGAAGAAAGTGGGTAGAATCCCTAGTTCCGCTCTCGCCTGCGGCTTGACGGCGAGGATGGTGGCGAACTGAGAACTCATCGGAGAGGATGATCAACTTGTGTACCCTGCGTTTCTTCACGTTGGAGCGGAATTTAACTTCTTTTTTTTTTTTTTTCATAAAGAAAATAACTAGTAAGTTAGTACTGTGAGATAATAGTAAATAAAGATTTGAATCCCAAATCAGATAAATAACTCACCTGCCTCAATTAAGCGCGTCGGGGTCAGGCCGCTTGGTGGTGTTCGGAATTTAACTTATTCTAACCTTCTTTTTTTAAGGGCCATTTGTTTGCTTTGGGTCAAAGTATGGGTTAGGTCAAGTAAAATGTGCTACTTTATTTCCATGTGTTGCTCATGGGTTTGGACCAAATTTCCTCCTAATGTATTGGGCCTCAAATCTATGAGTTACTAATTTATTATGCTAGAAATTATGGAAGATTTTAATTCTAGAAGGGGTAAATCATTTTCTTGTGTGCCAAAGATATTTGTTAAATTAATATTTTAAAGTTTAAACCACAAAGTTTATACCCTGACTAAAATAGAGAGTGCCTTGTGTGATTGAGATGAAATTATTATCCTAGACCACAAAAATTCTTACCTTTACTAATGAAGCTTATGGGTGTTGTGAGGTAGCCTTGTGTGATTGAGATGAAATTATTATCTTAGGCCACAAAAATTCTTACTTTTACTAATGAAGCTTATGGGTGTTGTGAGGTAGAAAGGGTGAGGCAATTGTCTAATTTTAATAATGTCACACCTTAAATTATAAAATGACATATTTATCTATAATTTAAAAAATAATATTTTTTCCCTTCCAAAACTACCACTCTTACTTCTCTTAACCTTTGCCACTACAACCCTATTTCTATTTCATCTTTTAATCGTGTCAAAGACGGCTGTACATAGGATCCTTACCTATTCGTTTGTTTTCAAAGCCATCTTCTCTTAATTTGTGGTAAGCCATCATCTTCTGTTTTTCTTCTTCTTTCCTTTTTTTTTTTTTTTTTGGTTTTTTTATGTACATTGTTAAATTTTATACTTTTTAATGAGTTTTTTCAATATATATGTTTGAATTTTTATTTTTGTTGTTAAAGTTATTATTTTATTTTACAGATTAGTTGTTACATTGATTTTATATGAAATCTCATAAGATAAATACAAATAATTAAAGTATTGAACAATATGAAGAAAATGAAATTAATGTCTCATGAGAAATCATTTGAAACTCATGATGATCTCCTTCAAAGTATGAAAATATTTTATTTGAAAAATATATACAACAATCATCAAGAAATCGAAAGAAAAATGCCTTGACTATTCTATAGAAAAAATAACCCTTTTATTGTTTTCATTACCAATTGTGATTAAAAATGATTTGATTCAGAATTTGTATTTTCCATGGTTTTTTTTTTATATAAAATAGCTTGATTATTCTAAAGAAAAAGAAAAATAAAGTCAAATTTATTTTTGAAAAGGGAAAAATATGGAATAGAAAAAGGGCTACAACGATAAACGTTAAAATAAGTAAAAGGGGTGGTTTTGGAAAGGCAATATATATATTTTTTAAAATTATGAATAAATATGTCACTTCATTATTTTAGGTGTGGTATTCTGAAAAAAAATATGACAATAATCACACCCAGATAGAAATGTAACTGAAGAGGAAGAACATTAATATTATTCATACATAATTAATTGTTATTAAAAACTTATCATATAAGAGTAATGCTCAGAATAAAGGCAGGAAGAAACCATAATTAATGCTATAGGATATTACATCTGTAATTAGTGCACATTCAAAACCCCTTTCGAACTCACATTTTTTTTGACATAAAGAAGCAATTTTCTTACTTCGTTAATGACTAATTGTAAACAACACATTTATTACAAATATAGTTTGAATTATAAATCATAATACCTTATGTACCTTGTCATTTATATAATTGAAATTTTATTATTATTTATAATCACAAAGTTTATATCTTAACTAATATAACTTACGGAGTTGTGTGATAGAAATGAACTCCCGAAATGAGAAAAATCTCCACTTATTGCTCTTGTGAAAACTTAC